TCCTATACACAAGTTAATATTTTTGTTGTAAGCTGAGAGAAAACATTAGAAGGAAAACATAAAATAAGCTTCTCAGATAATTATTAGAAGCCTGTTTTAAAAGGAAATCAAATGGATTTTATGATGACTTATATGAACAAATTTCCTTTTTTGTATATTTGAAATACTTGATATTTAAAAAAGTTTCTTTTCAGATTTGAATCTTTGAAAGAACAATATAATATGTCCTTTTATGCAAGTCAATAGTCTAGAACTGAAAGTGAACACCATAAAGGAAAAGAATATACTGTGTTCAGCTGGCGGGAAGACCACAAGACATTTCCAGCGCACCGCTGTTCACTGCCGGAGTGCAGACAGGAGCCCAACAATTTCCTCATTAATGAAAACAGTTGCTCTCAACCTGAGGATTCTAGAACACAGCAGGTTCCCAAACAGACTTAATACACTTCCTGCAGATGGCTAGTCCCAACTCTCATATCTCAAGCTTCTGGGAGGTTAGGGATCTAATAACATGAGTATTATTTATAACCACCATACTTACCTGTTCTAACGTGGCAGCAAAGCCCTGTCTGTCTGCTACGTAAGGCAGCCCATGAACCAAGCCTACTTTTTCTGTCATTTGATTAACCATGTCAGTAAGTGTGTCTGGAATTACTATAATTAAAAAAAAAGGGGGAGGGAGGGGGAGAGAAAAAAATTTCTTTTTAGTAAAATGCCCACTAATGTAAAATATATTTTGTGACTTGTTATTACATTCTTAATAAATTCTTTTAAACATTTGGATCTAATAAAATGAATCTCAACCACCTTTCTGAGCAGAATACAAATTTTCAAAAAGGCAAAATTTATAAGCTAATTTACTCCACACATTTTTAGCCCAGTATATTCCTAATATGTTCCAGAGGCAGGAAATACCTTGAAAACATTAACCCCCATGTCAGAACCTCCAAATTGAAATAAGAGGTTGCGTCCTAGTGGAAAAGGTTCAGGAGCAGAGGTCAAAGGACCTCAGTTCTCGGTTGACTTCTCTACTCTCCAACCACAGGAAATGAGCCTCTAGTTTCTCAGTGGGTATATGTATCTGATTTCATAGAACTGCTAACAGGAATGGACTGTGACTATATTTAACAGAGATTTATACACCAAAAAACATAAATATATGATAGTAAGCAATGTAAAGAATGAACACAAGCTCTATGAGTTGACAGATTTGTCATACTCCTGGATTAATTCATAGGGGTCCTACACTTACATTAATTTTCAAATTTGCATTTTAAGCTAATAAAAATTTTAAAAAAATTACTCTATGTTCAAATAGCAAACATCTCATATCACATCATCTTACGTGACTTTATTGCCCACAGGGACATCTGTCAATGTCTGGAGACATTTTGGGTTGTTACAACTGAGAAGGGGGTGCTACTGTCATCTAGAGGGTAGAGGCCAGGAATGCTGCTAAACATGCTACGGGACAGTCCCCACAATGAAGAATTAGCAGGCCCCAAATGTCAATGGTGTTGAGGTTGAGAAACTTAAGGTAATTAGAATATTTTTAAAAAATTATAAAACATTGAAACTACTATAAACATAAGTGTTTAAA